ACACACACACTCACCCCATGTAACCCCTGGGCCCTGTAACCTTGGGCCCTGTACTCATTGTACTCACCTCATCTAACCCTGGATAGTTTTCTAATTGTATTCACCTAACAGTGACATAATTGAATTAGGCATTCTGCAGATCTGATCATAAATTTGCATTGGACCAACTTGTTCTACTTAGTACTTCAGATTTCTCATTTACCAGTTCCTGAGCGGAAGCAATCCCTGACAACACTGCACAATGAATAACTAAAATCCAAGTGTTCAGTGGTTGCCAGACTATTTCCATTGCTGGGAAAATTAAAGCAAGGGGCCAAGTTCCTAGCTTAAAGCACTGGAAAGATGAAAGGGGAGGTTAGGAGTAACTTTACAGACAATATTGCAGTGTGGAGTGTCACAAGCATGATCAATGCCAATTCAAAAACAGCATTCAAATTTGTTCTGGATCATTTTTGAAGGAAGAATAAAAGATCTGGGCCAGAGCAGAAAAATTGAACTGTGCAAAACGCACCCCTGGAAAGGATCCTGAATTCAATAGAAAGAAAAGGCTCTTCCTGTGCTAAAAGTTCCAACAGATAAATTTTGAGGACATCTTACGAATGAGCCCTCCCAGCACAGTATTTCAAGTACAGGTAGATTCAAAAAATGTCTGAGACTTTCTGGCAAATAATTTTAAAAGGGTTATCAATTCCCATTAAAATTACTCCTAGAAAGAAATTTTTGCAACCTAGAACTAACAGAAATGGGACTAATGAAAAGAAAAGTTGATGACTGGAAAGGTACAAAGCAGCTCACTAAAAATGCAATTAGTTGGTGTATTGGGTTAAGGATTAGGGTTGTAAACCATTATAACTCTGTTAGCTGGACCGTAGATTAAAGAGTCTTTCCACTGGCTGAAATGTTCATATAGGGGCGGTCTTAACCCAGGTCATGGTGGACCAATACCTAAAGCACAAAAGTGGGTGTAATTTGTCTCCAGTCTACCAATCAGTGCCATGCAGAGAAAGAACAAGTCAGGCTACTGTGATCAGCATGTTATTGGGAAGGGTAAGTGGCAGCTGCTACCACAAAACCCACAGCCTAAACAGCACAGAAAGCACTGACTCACAGCAGAAGAAAAGAAATTCAAGAGTCTCAGATTCTCCGAGCTCCTAATGCTCACTCGTCCCCTATCAAGTAGATCAGTCCCTTGTCTAGTTCCACCCCTCATCCTCTGTTCCCTTTCTTTTTAATCTCTGTTTCATCTTCAGTCACTTGAACCCTGCTTTCCAAGTTTCCATCTTTCTCTCACCTCCCATCCCTGCCAATCCTTTGGTCCTAGTCCTTTCATAAGCTTGTGGGTCCCTATTTCCTGGGCCCAGTCATGTTTAATTGTTTCACGTTGAAGGAACCAGTACAAGTAATATATATGATCTTGTATTGTGAAAATTCATTTTGAAACAATAGGAAAAGGAACAAGTAATTACTTTTAACATGTTCCTGTCTAAAATTCCCCTTAATTCCTAGAAAGCATGATTTGCAACCTGCATAGAGGCTATCAAAATATGATTTTAGAAAAATCAAATGATTTGGAATTCAAAAAAAAAGAAATACAGGCTTGCTTTTCACAACCACTGGATGTCTCAAAGTGCTTTACAGCCAATAATTACTTTTGAATGCAAGAGTCAGGAGTAAACTAACTAAAAAAGGGGCACTTATTTCCCATTACTCAGCAACTTAATGGGTTTAGTAATGGACGAGAGTAGGAAGTGAGAATCGTATCTATTGAGAGTAATTTTTAAAGTTACAAATAGTTAAGACAGTATCTTTCAGAAAATACAAACTTTATTTATGGTTCTGCTTCACTACCAGCAATTTAATTATACACAGCCGCTCACTAATTGCAACACAGCAATTCAACCGACTCATCTCTCTCTCTCCCCACTCCACCACCCCATCTTTCCTATATTCACAACGCCTGCAAATGCTATCCATGGTTAGAGGATCCATATAGCAGTAGCTCTTCCTCAACATTGCCTTGTTAAATTTATGACTGGAGTCTGAATAGATAAGATACCTTATTGCAGAATTCCAGATCCTATGGTATTCCAATCGACAATGGCATTTATATACAATGTATATATATATTTTATGTGTACGCCAATTACATTCACAGCAGTATTGACAGAAGGACAGTATGAACTTCAGGTGCTAGTGGAAAACATGAATTTGCCACGTTATACCTAATTTGACTTCCATTTCTAGTCAATGGATAGGGAAACTGGGTACTGGGTGGGGTCTGTAATCAGCAACTAATTTGATATTGCCTATTTCACATTAATCAGTCAAAATTTAAAAGCAAATTATTCACAGAATATTATGACATGAAATGGGATTGGGAGTGCCATTGGAAATGGTGGCTTAGCGGTCAGCACTGCTGCCTCACAGCACCAGGGACCTGGGTTCAATTCCAGCCTCAGGTGCTTGTCTGTGTGGAGTTTGTACATTCTCCTAAAGTCCAAATGTGTGCAGGTTAAGTGGGTTGGCCATGCTAAATTGTCCACAGTGGCCAGGGATGTGGAGGCTTGGTGAGTAGCCATGGGAAATACTGGGTTACAAGGATTGGGTAGATGTTCTTCAGAGAGTTGGTGTGGACTCAATGGGCCAAATGGCCTCCTTCTACACGGTAGGGGCTCCCATTATGAAGTCATTCACTTTATTATACTTTGAGCTGAAATGTAAAGATAATGATGTACAATTTAGGAAGCAGGGACGTTCGGTTTTGTTGCCATTTAGGAATTTTCCTGTTGCTTGAGGTGATACTAGAGCAGCACCACTGGTGAGAAGATGCAGACACAACACAGTGTGGAGCTGGAGGAACACAGCAGGCCAGGCAGCATCAGAGGAGCAGGAAAGTTCATG